TTTGCTTTACCTATTTAACTGTTCTATTTTATTTTACTTCAATTATTAAACTGTTCTTATCTCAACCCACGAGTTTTCTCCCTTTTACCCTTCTGATTCTCTCCCTCATCCCACAAGTGGCGAGGAGTGAGTGAGCAGCTGTGTGGTGCTTAGTTGCTAGCTGGGGTTAAACCACAACACACAGAATTACAGAACAATTTATCCAGCCATTAAGTCCAATCTCCTTCTGAAAGCAGGACCAACCAGGTCAGAGGTTGCTGTGGGACTTGACCAGCTGAAATCTGAGTATCTCCAAGGATGGAGATTTCATGTCCTGTCTGGCTCCCTGTTCCTGTGTTTGACTGCTATGATGGTGAAAAGTTTCTTCAAATAGTTGGAATTTCTTTTGTTGCAACTTGTGTCCATTGCCTCTCATCCTACCACTGTGCACCTCTAAGAAGAGTCTGGCTCTTTTTATTTTACACCCTCCCAATAATCAGTTGTAGACAACAATAAAGTCTTCCTTTTGCCTTCTCCTCCAAACTTCTCTTTCACCTGCTCCTCATATATCAAGTGGTTGACTGCAATTGTCTCCATTTTATGTCAGTTTTCCAACTAAAAGGAGCTACGCAGAACACAGCTCGTTCTTTTCTGTCACAAAAATAAACTCCGACAAGTTAATGCTCTAACATGTCTCAGTAACTGCTCCCTTTGCTCCTCTGTAAAAATGGGATGCATGCTAACAAATCTCCCAACATAGGCCAAACCAATTTTTTAAACTACAAGTGACAAATTCTGCTCATAGAATCATAGAATCACAGAATCATAGAATCACAAAGTCATAGAATCATTAAGGTTGGAAAAGACCCATGGCCACTCCAGAAGAAATTACAGTACATTTTCACAAAATTCTGCAGAAGTTGCTCTCGTTTACTGTCAGTTTAAATGAAGAGCAGCCTAGCTTTTAGTGCTTACAAATTGAGACCACTTTTCATTACAAAGCAAACACACACGTTTACAGAGAGGCAAGGGATTACTCCATCTTCCATCTCTTCTGCACTCTGCTGCAGGTTCCCCTTCCAAGCTGTATCCCCTCTCGCAGAAATATGCTATTGTACTGCCAACTGTATTGTTTTCATAAATTGCCTTCCCATTCAGCAAGGAAACTGGAACTTTGCATCTGGTCTCTGCAAAGGAAGAGCTCTCATTAATTCAGCTTGATATTAGGCCTGGACTTCCAACAATCCCTGAATTACTCACATGATATGTTTAAAGTAGCAGCCACAGACTAATAAATCATGGAGAGCATTGATGGAGAATTCAGTAGCCCTGGGAAGAAAAGGTAGCCAAGCTGGGAAAGGAGCTCCTCCCAGTGTTGGATAAAAGCCACAGCCACATCTTTTTCAGGTCAGCAAAATGTGGCAGTGCTGGGGAGGAGAGGACACATTTATGATTTCATACTGGGGTCAGTGGGGCAGAACATGGAAATTGCTCTTGTGACCCTCTGCGCCTTCCTTTTCGCCTGACAAGAAATACCAGATGAGATGCAGGATGGGTTTGGTCCAAGATGCTGTCATTTATATTATTAATTGCTCCCCTCAAGATTCTCAGCTGTGTTTCTGAAGCCAGCAGGTAGACAGTCCAAGCTGGGTTACCACTGCTACACAAGGGACTCTGTTCTGCGTCCCATTTTCCATTTGATTTTCCTAGGTGGTCTAGGTAATGGGATGACTGAAGATTAAAGTATCAGACACAATGCTGTCAGGCAAGAGGAAGAGAGGAGTTGGTGAACTGGCTGTGCTCAACCTTGTTCAAGATGGTCTTCTTGACATCTCTTCAGCACTGCTAATGTGTAACTTTTCTTAGGTGCGTGGCTAGGTACTAGAGACCTCCTCTCTGATGTGGATGTCCCCTATCAACTTTCCAGGTTGCCACTATAAGGTCTGCAAAGCATTAGGCACTGCAGTGCACAGTGATCTGTGCATTATGTGGTTGCCCAACACTGCATCTGATGGTCCCTAGCCCTCATGCAGTTTCCACATCTCTGGTGACAGGAACCTAATACCTGCCTTGAGTGGAAGATCATTATCTGTCTTACTTCGGTGAAGCTGTCACAGCATACTGGTCCCCTCTGAATCTGTGTGTGCAGCTGCGTGTGGAGACATCAACATGTCAGCTCCATGTAAGAATGCCAGGAGCAACTAGAAAAAGCAAGCAGGATGCTGGGTCTAGAGTCTAGCTTGGGAGACCTGAGCAGGGACAAGAAGAGCCTGAAAGGAAGTGTGATGGGCAAGAAATGAACTAGTGTGCTTCTGAGAGGAAAGGAAAAGTGTGAAGCCCAGACTTTGTATTTTCATGGCAAAGAGGCCAGGAATGGAGAACACTCCTACTTAAAAGTCAGTGATACTCCAATTTAGTAAGCTTCTATATGCTTTACATTTTGAACAGTCATCCAACAATATGCAAGTATCTGTTCAAACTTGGGGTCTTAAGTTTTGTTCTCTTTTTGTGTTGTCAACCTTGTTTCCACTGACTACTGACCACTCCATATGACGCAGACAGTTCTTGCTCGGCACTCATTCTGCTTTGTGGCATGAGCAACAGGACCTACTGAGGGAGCACCTGAAAGCAGTTATTTGCAAAATGGTACATATCATGCATTCATGGTGTTTGTTCATGTAAGGAGTGTGGAGGTTAAAGGCTGAGCAGTTGAGACTGTCCTTGGGGCTCAAAGTTCAGAAAAGAATATCAACTTAATAATTGACTACAGAAGCCTGCTGGGAGAAAAGTCACTTGTCCTCGCAGTCCATCACCTTTTGTTAGGCGTTTGATTTTCTGAGATGGCAAATAACCTCATCTCTCATTAAGCTTGTTAAACTGCAGATTAAAACCTTAGGAAAAATGATGTCTAAGCTCTTTCTGGCTTGGTAACAGGCAGTGCTCCGTGGACACATTTCATTTTTCAGGCATCATTTTTAATGCACATTACAAAATCGTATCCCGAAAGCAGCTCAATCCCTGGATCATATGATACGCATGGATAAGGGAGGAGCTATTGCTTATCCCAGATCGGAATGTGCCAGGCCATGAAACCGAACAGTTACCTTCACACAATGGCAAGGGTTTACTCCAGCTCCCATTGGCAAGACATGTGATATTCTGGGGCCCGACAAGACGGTATCCAGAGTTGCATACGAAGGTTACATTACTTCTGTATGTGCTTCCCATAGAAATGGCCTCTGCGTTTTCTATTGAGGGATGCAGCCCACAAGTAATTCCTAGGAGAGGAAAAAACTTTTTGGTTTTACACAGACAACAAAGGACATTTTGTCTGTCTGTTACACACTGTCTGACAGCTCTGTTCCCACACTGAATTAATGGAAAGATGGGAAGAAAGAAGCTGTGAAGTATTATATGGAGGAGGGTTATACAATGCCTTGCCTGCCCTCTCTCCTGGGGTTCAGACTGCAGACACCTGAGAGAGAATGTGCACAAACGTATCTGATGGTGTTGTAAGCTATGAGGTGTGTTCAATCAAACAGAGTGATCCAAAATATTTCTTCTGAGCAGGCCAGAGGCTGCATTTGCAGTCTCCTTTGCTCCCCATACAGGGGAAGGCGATCTCAAGATGTCCCCAAGAAAAATGACAGTACTTAAGAAGGATCTTGCCCCCTGTCCCACAATTACTGTGGAGACCAGGCAAATTGGTCAAAGGTGAGAGAGAAGAAAGCAAGGAGTAGGACTACGACATCACCATGAGAAGATGGGAAATGATTTATTGGTAAAGACTATAAAATCTTGGCATTTTATTTATAAGCTGTATGAAGTAAGTCATAAATCCTTTTTTCCATGCTCCCACAATTAATCAACTTCTGCTGCACAGAGAGCCAAGGTTTGATCCTAGGGAGCAGAGTCTTGATCTCCAGACATACAGAGTGGCCAAAATATATTAGCCTTGGCATGGCAGAGCTGAACCATCCCAGCACATGATGTCCAAGGGCCTGCACACCACAATGCAATGCAAGGCAAATCAAATACATCAGGCCACACTCCACCCCTACTGACCTGAGCATGACTCTATGCTTGTGCCATTTTAACGTGCCAAAAGGAGCTCCCTTCATATCAGAGAGGAACTGCCAATGAGAATTTCTCTGCTAGCTTTTCCTCTGGCTCCTCCTGTTACATCCCTCCAGCTGGAGGGGAAGGCTGGGAGGAAGCCAGCAAAAGCACTCTCTCAGTTTGTTCCCCGGCTCTCCTGGAAAACTGCCACCATGTTGCTCTGCTTGCTACTTACGCGTGCATGAAGGGGCGGAGGGGCTCCACTTTTTGCCAACGTGGCAAATCCTTCGGCTTGATCCCTGCAGCTCAAAGCCAGGGTCACAGCTGTAAAAAACCTCACTGCCAAACAGGAACTCCTCTCCCTGAACAGATCCATTTTCTATCATGTCCGGGGGTCCACACGATACTCCTATAACATAAGGAATATGTTCCCATCAGACATACTGCATATGGACTGTCCAGTTCACAGCTCCTCCACAGGTTTTACTCTGAGAAACAGGGAAAGAACACAGCGTTTATCTAGGCATTCCCAGATACTTGCCCCTGAGTAGCAGAACAGTATCATGCTTGGTGCTTCCAGTTCCTGCTAAAAGACAAAATTTATTGCGGCTGTGCTGGCAGGAAGCCTCGGGAAATTCCACTGTTGACACTTACAGCCAACAGCTGAAGTTCACATAAGTATTTATGCAGACAACTCGTATTTCAGCACTGCAGTCAGTGGGCATCAAACATCTCACAGAAGTGAAGTACCTTTGAGAATGAGTATCCATAGAGTAACATCTGAAGATGCTAAGTACCTGTGAGTCCTGGCAACTAACGTGTTCAGAGGTCCTCAGTAACTCCAGACATCATGACCTAAAGTGTCAGAACTATTTAAACTTGGAAGCTGTCTGCACAGCTTTCTTAGGGATACAGGAATAAGGCAGAAAGGTGTAGTGATTTCTTTCACACTATTACCTGCACACACCAGCAATTCTGCAACTCTTCCAGACTGTTATCAGTGGTACTTACCAAAAATTTTTAGGCAAATGAAGACAGTATGAGTTATAAAGCAAAACGAGCATTAGTGTTTTCTGCTGTGTAAAATCACCCTTGACCAACATTAAGTGATAAATGCAGGTGGAACGTACTTCTGCACATTGGCACTGTGCCACTCCAAAGCTTGTCTTCTTGGCAAGTCCGTTCTGCATCACCCTGTGAAACAGAAGAAAATGCTCAAAGAACGACTTTACTTAGTCAACTCTTTTCTCCCATCAACTTTAGTATCCACCAATGCCAGGACATTTTCCCTCCATGTGCAACCCATGTAAAGAGACAGTTAAATGCTACAGCCCAAGTCTACTAGCAGAGTTTAGGGTAGAACTACTTCCTGCAAAGTGATGGGTATTGTTTATAAACCAAAAGTTTGAGGGGGCAGTTAGTCAGTTCTCTTGTCCTTCTCCCTGAATTATCATCTTTCTTGTCAGTTTTACCATTCTTGTTCCGAGGAATTTGTTACAATGACAAATTTTCTCCTTCCAGGACTCACAGAAAATCTAACTAGTATTTTTTTCAACAACAGTACAAGCTTGTGCTTTATAAACATAACTTACTGATTTTGACCACATCCCAAACACTCATTCTTTAAATTTGCTTATAAATAATGTTATTTCTTTCTTACATACAGGCTTTATAGCCAGTCTAATAGTCCAGGATTTATTTCTTATTTTATTCCAAGACATGCACAACAACATCTAAATTTGTCCCTTGAAGTAATGTACTTTCATTACAAAGCAAACCCATTGACAAGGGCAGCTGTTTGACACAAGTGTTGTATGGCATCACACCCAACCGACTTTGCCTCCCAAAGGAAAAAAAAGCAAGACTTCTCTTCAACAACAGGGAGACAGATTGACGCTAGGTGGCGAAGCTGGAATACAAAGCTTGGAAGGACTTTTTACTGTATGAAAGCACTGGCTTATTACCTCCAAAAATTACTAGAAAGAGCAGTTCTACCTATCTGTCTAAATACGAACCCATCCCTCCATCCCCAGTGATATCACATATGTGGCAACATAATGCAAATTAAATTTATTGTTACCTAAGCATTCTCTAAACTTGTATACTGAGTGACTGAGTGAATTCGCTTCTGACTGGGTGAATTCACATGCATGAAGTTCTTAATTTATTCCTGGCGTTTTGACAGTACAAAGGAAACACAATCCTGCATTCTTCTTAGTACTCACAAAGCACAGTGCTAAGAGCCAGCCTCTGTCCTGGAGACACCTCACCACCTCATGCCTCTGGACATGACTGTGCCCTACTCTGCCATCACCTGGGGATGGTGGAGGCCATGCTGTGCCTCAGCACCACACCTTCATCTCTGAATTCACTGCAGCTTTCGAAAACACACCTGAGGTGGCTCTGAATTGGCTAGCCTGAGTCCTGATAATGGGACAGCAGTGCTGCTCCAGAGCTCAGGTGGGGATAAGAGCCCAGTGCTCATAATAAAAACAATGGACAGGAAAGAACTTTGTTCCCTTCTTCATCAGAGAATAAAGCTGCCATTGAACAAACTGAAATCTCTTTGCCTTACTTAAACAAGAGATATCACTTTCATACCACCTAGCAATGTCGTAGAACTGAGGGCAGTGGAATTTATCAGGAGCTTTGAGTCTGAAAGCAGACTCAATGGAGCAGACATAATGCTTGGGACATGAAATCGAGGGAAGAATGCAGTCTAACTCTGGCCAGAGAACCAGTTCAAGAGAGCAATACATGAGAAATTAACTCTGCCATGATTTATTGTCACAAGCATATATAATGCTGTATTTGCAGAGGGCTTAAACAACCTTCAGTTAAAAAAAAACCCAACAACATTGAAAGGTGTCTGCTGAACATGTACCTCTGAACAGGATGTTTATATTTGCTTCAATTACACCCCTAAGTTATTCAAGGACTACCCCAAACATACCAGGAGCATTCTACGGACAATAACAACAACAACAGCAGATATCCAACTTCTGTGGCAGTTAAGGGAATATATCAATATGGACCAGACATAATACATTCTCACAGTCATCACATGAGAACGGAAAATGGCAACTAAAGGTTTAGAGTGCTGGAGATTTGAGCTTGCTTACTTGTAATTCATAGCCAGAATCACATTTATAAAGAACCACGTCTCTGTAATTGTATTTAGTGCCAACCACAAATCCATGCTCTGGAGACTCTGGGGTCCCACAGGACACAGGAATGCAGATGTTATCAGAAAATGGTGGTACCCAAATGCCATTCTCCTGAAAAACAAATGTTTTGTGTGAAGTGAAGGCACCACTTTATATGCTTAATTCATATCTAAATGAAAAAGTTAGGAAAATCATAGCAGAAGCACCCAATGGCTGTGGGTATACAGATATGGTTAATGTAATATTATCTGTGCAATCCTTAATAAAACTCAGTAATTTAAGTAACACTTTTAAGATGTCAACACAGACTGCAGCTCAGCTTTGGAAGAATGTTCAGCTTAGACTTACAAGACAGAAGGAACAAAAAGTAAATGGGGAAATAGAAGCTTGGAAAAGCAAGTTCACTTGTACAAGTTCACCTAATAACTCAGGGAACACGTAACGAGAAGAATGAAATCTACAGCTGCCTGATTCCATGTTCTGCATTTCTCTCCTGGCTGAATATCTAACACCATGACTAAGTGCTTCAGCTGCCTTCCCAGGCTTTCTAAGGGAAGTCTGATACCTGACGAGACACTCGTCAAACACACCTACTCCTACTTCCACAGATCTTTGAAACAGCAAAATAAGGGGAAAACCTTTCCTTATGAAGTGCTGATTCTGCAAAAACATGCATGCTCAGCTTTCCTCATATGAGCAGACTTATTTAAAGAGTCTATTTACAAGCTTAAGTCAAGGTTGTCCACAGTTAAGAAGTTAATAGCAGAACTGATGAGGAACTTTGCTCTTTAACATACAGAGGATTCAAGCTTCTACAGCTGCACAGTGGATTGAAGCGTGTGCTGCCTGTTATTCTGGAGAAAGCTCTGCACGCAATCCTCAAAATACATTAGAAATCTTGGACATAATTTTTTAAAATCTTGGACATGAGTTATTCCCTGAAATGTGATAAAAGGAATGCTTTTCTAAAGGACAGCATTAGTTTTCGATGGAAGAAGAAATCAGTAATTTCTAGTTCCGAAAGTCTATACCTGGAAAACTAGTAATTGTTCTTAGTGGGCAACAAGGACACATATTATAATTTGCAGGACATGCTTTAATTTTTTTTGTTTTGTGCAATTAAGGGCCAAAAGCTAACGAGGGCATGAGGAGGACTCTTGAATTCAACAAAAGCGGCAGTGCAAATAACACTATACCTTGCATGTAGATGTGCTTGCTCCCACCAGAGTATAGCCTTCTACACATGACAAAGTGATGTTTGTGTTCACAGTGAAGTTGTCCCCAAGTACGATTACATGGGTGATATTTCCTGGGAGGGGACACTTTCTGGGGCAACAGGAAATACTTTGAGGAGACCACTGTCCATCTTCCTGGCAAATGCATACATCCACCTCTGTCACCATTGTGTAGCCTTCCAGGCATCTGCAACACAGCATGAAGACCTGACCACAGAGACACAGCTAGGGTTGAGCTAACCGATAAACTACAAAGTCAGATAGTCATTTTTCAGCATTAGTTGTTCATAAGCACACCTTGGGATTTCTCTGTTATTTCAAGGTAACCCTGTAAGAAGCATGCCTGGACTGAGTTTATTCTGTTGCAAGAGCTGGAAGCTTCAGACTTCATCTCCATCTGCTTCATGCTGCTGCAGCACCACAATGGAAAGTGAGTTGGTGGCTCTAGTGCTCGGAGGGTACTGAACGCTTTAGTGCAGTTCCTGCACTGCTCTTCCCTTTGCACAGAGGGCTTTTGGTTAGGTAAATAGTGTTTGAGTGCCAAGCAATTCTAAAGATGATCTCACTTTCTTTCAAGAACAAACCAAGCCTTAGGTTGACCACAGGCCATTTGCTTAGACATTTAAGGCTGATTTGTTCTGTTCCACACGGTGCCTCACCACGAGCAACAAAACTGGCTTGCGTAAGTGGGTTCACTTGTAGAAAGGCAGACCCAAGCATCCCCTTCACCTTGTTAAAGATGCATGGAAATCACTGATACTGTTAAAGTCATCCACATGCCATCTCCCAATTCTGTCCCATACTATTACTTGCTTTTACTGACAAATAAATCTCCCCTTCTGCCAAGGACTTCCTTACCTTGGAGAAAGATATCTGCAGTGTGCACACTTCAGGAAATTAACAAAACCCCCTTTCTCTAATATCTGACAAAGGAGTAATTTTGCATCAGCAACACTCGCTGACAGTGCAGCGTTGCAGTACAGGAAATGTGACAAGAGGGAGATCAGCCCTTCTGTAGTACAACAGGCACCTGAAGCAGGAAGAAGATGTAAATGAGGTGCCAAAAGGGGAGGAAAATTGCACACCCTGATGACTGTTGCTGCCACCTGCTAAGAGAACCTGAATGTCCAGACCAGTGTTACAGAGGAGGAGAAAAGGAACGCAAAGGGGAATGGGAAACTAAAGGCAGTGGGTGAGTGCAGCCCAACAGGCTGAAATACCTTGCTAGAGTTTTGACAGTGGTCCAAATGGTATTTTACATGTGCATGGGAAGGTGGGCTTTGTCAATCTGAGCATGTGATAGGGCATAACTTCTCTTTCAGGTCTTTTAAAAGCTTGCACTAACTGAGGGTGCGTAAACGTTCCATCTTAATTCCTTCAGAGATTTTATGGAAACAGAATGGCAACAGCATTCTTACCTGTACTGGACCTTGCTCCCATAGGTGTAAGTGTTCCCAAGAACCTCTGCATTTGGGACAGAAGGTGGTGGGCCACAGCTTAACAGCTCACAGCTTGGGTATGGCTTCTTCCAGACACCAGTCTCCACACAAGTCAGTTCTGGACTCCCCCGCATGACAAAACCTGTCAAGCAGGTATAGATGATGGTGTTCTCATCTGCAGAGCTGCTCCCATTGATAAATGTGTTGGGGATGATGGGTGGAGAGCCACAGGAAATCTGCCCACAGCGAGGAAACCCAGAACTCCACTTGCCAGCTGCCTCACAGGTGACTTCAGAAGGCCCTAGCAGTTTGAAGCCCTCCAGGCACTGAAACTGGGCGCTCTTCCCACAGCTGAAATCTGTACCAAGAACGACTCCATTCTGAATCTGTGGTGTAGGACACAGACAGGGTAGGCAAGATGGGAGGCTTCCACTCCAGGAGCCATTGGACAAACATTGCCGTAAAGGATTGCCATGTAGCTCATACCCAGGGAAGCACACATACTGGGCAAATTCCCTATAGGTAAAGCCTGAGCCATTCAAAAAGCCATGGGAGATGTCTTCAGGAGGTCCACAAATGACTGGCTCACAGTGTGGAGCTTCTGAATCCCAGGTACCATCACTCTGACAGGTAAGCGTAGACACTCCTTGCAGGCTATATCCTTCATTGCAGTGATAGTGCACTTCTTTCTTAAAGCCAAAATCTGAGCCACTAGTTCTCCCATTGGGAAGAGGCAGCGGCACAGGGCAGGTCACAGCTTTGCAGACTGGAGCGATTCCACTCCAGCTTCCGTTTGCAAGGCAGACTCTACTCCTGTCCCCATCTAACACGAAGCCTTCGTTGCAGCTGTACTCTGTATGTCTCTGGAACGTGTACTCCTCTCCAGTCACCTGACCATTCTCCAAAACTGGTGGTGGGCTGCAGGAAACAGGAATGCAAATTGGTTCACTGCCATCCCATTTCTGGTTCTCTTGGCATCTCCTCTCTGTGGGGCCATTTAACTGGTATCCAGGATCACACTCATAGTAGACAACACTGCCATATGTGTAGTTTTCCCCTCTTATGTTCCCATTCATAAGCTGCGTAGGTGAGTTGCACGTTATTGCTTTGCAGTATGGAGCGGCGTTACTCCACTGCCGACTTGGCAAACACAGTCGTGTGTCGGAGCCAACAAGTGTGAACCCTGGCTTACAGGTGTACTGCACTGCGCTACCGAGTGTGTTCTCAGTGAAATGTAAAAAACCATTCTCTGGGGGTGACAGCAAGCTGCACTCTATTGAAACGCAGGCAGGGGCAGTGCCGTTCCAAGCCCCATCTTCTTGGCAAGCTAGAACAGGGTTTCCCAGCAGCTCGTAGCCAGAGTAACATGTGTATAAAATTATAGTTCCAAATAAGAAAGTGGTGAGCTGCATTGCACTGTCCTCCTTACTTTTGAAGTCTTTCAAATTGTCAGCCAGTAACATATGCGAAAGGGAGGGACCTTCTGTAACACTCTCCTGGTCAGAACGTCTCTCCCCATGTCTCACCTGCGCGTACTCCCCAAAGTCAATGTGAGGAGGCAGGCCACAGTCTGTTGGGAGGCAGGCTGGCGTGGAGCTAGACCAGCCCGATTCTTCACAGGTTTGCATGGCAAGGCCAGACAGCTGGAAGCCTGGCACGCAGCTGTAAATGACCATGGCCCCATAGCTATAATCTGCACCCTCCACAAAGCCATTCTCGATGGGCTGAGGGGGCTGGCAATTTATGGCTTTGCAGGAGGGAACCTCGGTACTCCACTCCCCTGTCTCTAGGCATCTCAGTGTTTCCTCCCCTTGGAGCTGGAAACCTCTGTCACAGGAATACCTTACAGTCTGCCCATAATGGAAGTTTGTGAGTGAGTATTTTCCATTGAGGATCTTCTTAGGCCTTGGGCACTGAATAGGTTTGCAAGCTGGCCTTCCTCCAAGCCATTGGCCATCTTCTCCACAGAGGATAGTTGTGTTTCCCACCAGTTCGAAGCCTGGTTTACATGTATAGAGGGCTGTGCTAAGGAAGGTGAGGCCCTGCACATCAACAATGCCATTCTGAATTTCTTCTGGTTGGGGGCACTCCACAGGTATACATTCTGGCAAAGGCAAGCTCCATGAGCCATCAGCCTGGCATCTGATGGTAGACTCACCCTTCAGTAAAAACCCATCCACGCAGATGTATTTCACAGTGCTACCAAAATGAAGGGATGAAGTCAAGGGGTCACCAAAGGGAATGTATGGAGGTGCAGGACACTGTACAACCTTGCAGAAGGGAAAGGAATCATTCCACTGTTGGGAGGGCAAGCATTTCAGTACAGAGGAGCCATGCAAAACATAACCCTCCTTGCAGGAGAACTGTACAACACCGACTTGGTAAGTCACTTCCCTCAAGACCAGCTGGTTTTCTGCCAAGGGTGGTTCTGGACATTTTGTTGGCACACACTTCGGGCTTTGCTTTTTGCTCCATTTCCCAGACTTCTGACACGTCCAAGAAACATCTCCAATCAGCTCATACCCCTCATCACAGAAAAACTCAACTTTGGAGCCCATATCAAAAGTTTCTCCCTTGGAGTAGCCATGCTGGATGGGTGGTGGTTTTCCACAGCTGAGGGGAACACAGTAAGGAGTTGATTCACTGTACCATTGCCGATTGGCTTGGCAGATAAACACTGAGCTACCAACCAGCTGGTAGCCAGACTCACACTGATAAATTGCCTGATTCTCAAAGAAGCGTCCAGTTGTTTCCTGCAAAACAGATAAGACGAGAACATGTCTGAAATGAAGATGCATGATTGGGGCAATAGGAGGCTGCTTTCATTTCTTGTGTTTTCTTGGTCTAGCTTCTAGCTGAATCCCAGACAGCAGTAAACGCAAATAACTGACATAGAATGCCTTGCCTCAAATGATGCACTCTGCTATCAGGAAATCTGAGAGCATCATCAAAAGAAAAGAGAAAATTCAAGGCTTAAAAGGTAAAAGCTAGAAAGTATTTCCTCTGCTTTCCCCCTTGCTGACCCATGAGACCAAAAGATGTGTAGACAGGAAGACAGAAAAGAAATGGGTCAGGAGAAGCTGCCATGAAATGGCCTATTGCTGTTATGATTCTTTAGCTTACAGGCGTATTGAAGGCTGGAGCCTTCAGATGTGCTACTACTGGGAGATGTTTATAACTGCCACATATGCAGCTGCAGGGTCTTGAGCAGGCAACTAAGGAGCCCCTCAAAGCTGCAGGCAGAGCTCTGCAGACTGAGGTATTAAAAAATGTTTCTAACTGGAAGGAATACCTGGCAGAGTGATCCTATCTAAGGAAGACAATACAGAGTGATATGTGGGAGTCTGAACAGAAACTGTTGCTATTACTGCTGGAAGTGCATGTAGGAACTGGGATGCAACTCCCTGCCCCCCCTTGCCCCCCCAATTTTTAGCAAATGCAGATGCCCTGGCAGCTAGATTTAAGGAAGCAGGAGGGATGTTCAGGAGAAAAATGCTTTAAAAATTCAAAGTTAAATCTTTACAATAGTGTTTTTGGTCTTCCTTACCGCAATATTACCCTTGTGCATCAATGCACAACACAGGTTAAGTAGTTGTTACAGGTCTGGGCTGCCACAAGATTTTTAACTTCAGGCATTGTTGCAATGTAATTTGATAAGGAAAGGGAAGTTCTGACTTCAGTAAAGAAGTGTGCTTGCATCAAAAGGAGAGAAATTATCCCAAGGTGATTTATTTACTGCAAATCAGACTTTTTGTCATAGCAGTGAAAAGAGCAAGGCTTGTGAACTGGCAACAGTACTTCAGATGTCTCCAGATGGCACTGGAAAGCCACCCATGGATGCAACAAATGAAGACTAAGACATTAAGGAAATCAATTGATTGTCATATGGCATCTTGAGTCTCCTAACTGAAAACACACTTTAAGACAGGAAATCCCATGAAGTGTCCATGTTTTTCAGACACGATTCTGCTGCAAATCCACCCATTTTTCCCTTTGCTTATTCCATCCAGTCATGTGCTTCCTCAATTTTAACAGGAGAGCAAAATAGAAGAAAGAAAACCCCAACAGCAGCAATTATGAAGACATATGCAGTTTGCTATGGTACCAGGCAGATGAGAAAACTTGTTCTGTACCTTAATAAAGCCATTCTCAAGCTGTGGTGGTTCTCCACAGGACACTGGGTGGCATGTGGGCAAACTGCCACTCCAGTTGCCAGTAGCCTCACAGGTCCGCTTCTTCTCTCCCTTGATGTAGAACCCCTTGTTGCAGCTGTAAGCCACCACTGCTCCGAAGCTGTAGTTGGCCCCACTGGCATAGCCATTGCTAATGTGGGGAGGCTCTCCGCAGCGAACAGGGATGCACTGGATGCTCAAAGGAGAAGGATTCCACTGGCCCCCTCGAAGGCACTCGATCTTGGCCGAAGTGTTCAGAACAAAGCCTTCCATGCACTTGAAGCTCACGATGGAGCCAGCTGCAAACCTGGCTTTACTAATGGACTCCAGGATGCTGTATGAGACGGTGGATGGCTTTTCACAGAAATCAGCTATGCAGTGGGGCATTTCCCTGCCCTCTGGAGGCACCCACTTCCCTTCTGCATTGCAAAGCAGCTGAGAGTTATCAGCCAGGCTATAGCCATCCGAGCAGAAATAATAAGCTATATCACCAAAGAGGCGGTGGCCATTCTCTGGTGATGCATTTTCCACATGGGGTGGTTCATCACAGGATACTGCCAGGCACTGCTGGTGGCTCACATTCCACTCGCCGCTGGCTAAGCACTCTATGGTTGCAGGGCCAACTAACGTGTAACTGTGGATAAGGAAACCACATAGGAAGTCAAAAGACAAGCATTGTCAAATGCTACCTACAGTTTCCTGAAGCCCTTGCAGTATGAGCTTGCTTGCTAGCACCCTGGAAGAACAGGATCCTTTACAAAAGCTATGATCAACTTCAAAAGAAAAATCTGATAGCCTACATGTCCATGCCTGAGGTACCACAATGAGGGATTTCCTAGCACACCTTATGTATATTGCTTCTCTCTCGTCTGTCCATCTGATTACCATTCCTGAACTTCCATTTTGGTTGAAACTACTACAACAAACCCAGTATTGTGCTGTGACTGTCCATACAATCCTCAAAGAAATGATCCCACCATGAAATTCTTCCCCTTTAGCAGAACTGAATGGAGAAGAAATAGACGAAAAACCCATAAAGGCCTTTTGGTTTCCTGTATCAGCCCTATCAATTTATTTTCACACTTGCAAGCAATGAGAAACTCCTTAGTGTGTTACCCAGAGATGCTCTTGCTAGTAATGCACATGGCAATTTTGTAACAACTTCTTCCTAAAAAAACACTGTTAAAATTGGTATAAAAGCCAATTAAAAAATCAATGCTGAGTAGAAAAAAACCCCATCTTTTACAATCAAATTATATCACATGATTACTGTTATGTAGTTGTATTTCTCAAGTCTGTCTCTGGGATGCAGTGACAGGCATTACTCCATGCTGCTCATCACCTCACTTAAAACCCTGCTGCTTAAACTTGCAACAGTATAGCCACAGGTACTATCTTCTTCCCCAGTTTTGATATCTCTGTGGTGTGCTGTCACAGAAAGCAAAGAAACAATAACTACTGCAAAGTTCCCAGTGACTTTTTTCAGCTGCAGGCTGGAAACTGGTTGTTCAGATTTTGATGGCAACATATGTAGAAGTGCTTTGTCTTGTTTGCAGGATTTGTTTTCAAAGCCTCATGACTGGACTCCAGAAAAAGAGCCTATTATGTGCCAATATTTAATATGATCCATTCTATTCATTGTCACAGACAGCTGTGACTCTCTTTAAATGCTACTGTCCAATCCCATTTAAAATGCTTGCACAGGAAAGAGAAGCAACTTTTTAAATCATAATACAGTCAAGAAAACAGAATAAGGATCCTTTGCTTCAATTATGTTTCAAATAATATTGCAAAGCCAGTTTATAAGAAAAATGCTGGCTTATCAATCTACCTTATATCAGAAGGAGCAGAAAATCCTCCAGTCACTTTGGACCTGACCTGGCAAAAGCTCTGCATACCTGCTCTGCCTTTTGGACAGAACAGTTTCAAGAAATTCAATGGAACTGCTCACAAGCTGTAAAGATAAGCATGTGCAGGAACAGAGTCCAGCATTACATTCATGCTTGACATCATCAAAATGGAGCCTCATCTTTGATGAAATATGGTCTGAAAAGGTCACTACACTGAGTAGGTGGAAATCAAAGAAAATAATGCACCTCAGTAAACAAGGAGTCAGAGTTTTAAGGAAGCAGAACTTAGAACACCAGAACAGACAATTCTCAAAACACACCAAACAGCTTTCTTATAGCCTGAAGAGACATAGGGAATTCTTTATGATCAGGCTTTTGAGTTTACCACAGAAGTACTAGTTCTGCAGTAACTCCAAGGGAGAGGGCTTCCTATTGAATTGGTCTATCATTCCCCATGAATCCTCTCCATTCTCCTCTTCCAGAGTGTATTCAGCTGCCATGAAACTCCTTTAAGAAATGCCTATATATCCTGTACTAACTTGACAGCCCACAAAAAAATCTCTTATCACATTTAATTTCCAGAGAGTTAAGACAGAAGCAGTAAAAATGAATTAGTGTGTCATTATAAAGGACTTGTGAAGCAGTGCACCCGTTTTACTTGTCCTGACTATTAGTCCAGTAGTGCTAATCTACATACCCTTCCTTACACGTGTAAGAGACCGTGTTTCCAAAAGTAAAGTTATTTCCATCGATGACCGCATCTTTGATGGCAGGAGGGGATCCACAAGAGACAATGTTGCAAGCTGGAGGTGTGCTGTTCCAGTTCCCTGAAGATGCACAGACAAGTACAGAAGGTCCCTGAAGGCTGAGACACAAAGATCATTATTAAGGCTGCCATTTCTGTCCAGGTGAGGAACAGAGAGGGAAAGATGTGCTTTGCTTCTCACTGACTTCCTGACCCCAGTGAAACCACGGAGAGTCTCTCACTGCACTGACTTCAGTAGAGGCCAGAATCTCACCCTCTGTTCATGAAAAAGCACTGCTGATGCTGTTAAAAAAGTTGGTCTTCATATTATTTTATAGAGAGAGCTGATGGAATGCATGTGGGTCCTCAATGCACTGTGCAGAGACACACATAACTTCTGCTGTAGCTTTGCTCATCTTTGAGCCACAAAGGAAAGTCACAGGGTGCTTAAATATTTATTTAAGCTTAAAGATTTACTTGTATGCCATCAACACCACACCAATCTTGAGACTTGCCACTAGGCCTCAGTCAGTCTGAGACTTGGTTCACTCAAGGACTTAAACACTATCTTCACTTAAAGAACTGAAGGAAATCGTCCAGTTCAGGTTTTTTTACAAAAAGGCATTCAGTTCCTTCAGGAGGTAAAGGATTTTGCTTGAGTGAACGGCCATATACATTTGAAGTTGATGATATTTTTTGGTTTCCCTAGCTGAGGAAACAGTAATGCATTGGTAGAAAAGATGTGACTCAGTTGTCTAAACAGAGGTATTCAACATCACCCTGAGATGCCTTAGGTGAACCCCCTGGCCTCCAGCTGCTACGTCAGCTGGTGATGGATTCCCAGTAGGTCCCATGTCATATCTGAGAGCCCTACACAGGTATGTCTGATTCCTTACAATTTAGTCTCACACAGTATTAGACCCCCATGTTTAGTTGACTGAAACGAGCTCAGGGGTTAATGGAAGAGAACAACACTGACCTGTAAGGCCCTTACAGATATGGCACAGGCCCTTGTCAGGGCAATGGGCTCTGCCTACCTGTGGCAATCTGTTTAAGACAAAAAGCACATAAGAGGCGCTTGAAGGAAGAGACTGGGTCCACACTTAGGTCCAGAAATAATGCATAAGAGGGACACTGTTTGGGCGGGCTTCCCTTGGAGTGGTGACCACAGGAGAGAGGACTTCTCCCGTATAACTGATGTGGTATTTGCTGCCTATATGTCCTAAGTCCATGGTCAAAAGCCTCACTGATGCTGGTAAAAACACTGCCTGGTTTAGTGGGGAACAGATAAGCCCACACTGTGGATCTATGACTTAACACTACACTGGACTGTAGCTGAGATATTAATTTGTATTAACACGATTAAAACATTCACCAAATGAGCACACCTCACCTACCCGCCTGCATCTGGACAAGGGAATGCTTGCAGCAGGAAAATACAGAAAAAATTCAGACCTAAACAGGACCATGTGAAACTGCTTATGTCAGAGTAAATGCGCTGGAGGTACAAGCAGATATCAGGAGAGGCAGAAACTTGCACTTAAAGCCACATCCTTGGATATAGCATTACTGTATTAATTTTTAATTGCAGCATATTAAAAATGTGTTTCCAATATAAATGCTTACAAACGTAAAACAGAATAAAAGCCTACAATAAAGAACTACTACAAAGAGTTCAAGGAGTAAATTAGTAACTTCCAAAAGGTTCTTTCACCAAAGGCACTGTAAAACAATAGCAAAAAATAATATTTGGTATGCACTAAAGCTGTAGGGGTATGATAATCTTTAGAGACAAATGAGAACTTTAAAAAATAATGACAACTATTTTTCTGAATATTCAAAATATGTATTTGAGCTTGATGGTAAAATGAAAGCATTGTGTACATATGTCTATATCTATATATCTCAAATCCTGAGTGACTTGCTTGAACTGCTCCAATCTAGGATGAAATACAGAAAGCACCTTCAAGATATAAAGTCTTTTTAAATTCTATTTTAGTATTTTATCTTTCTGAGCAATGACCCCAGCTTTGTCTCTTTCAGACATATGTTAGACCTTCTAGCAAGCATGCCGCCTGCATTTGGCTCAGGAATGTTCCTGCATTTACCTGTATCCATTGTCACAGGTGTATGATACAGAGGAAAGGTAGGTTGTGCCAGTGAGTGTGTATTTTCCATTGCTGATATCCTGTGGGATAGGACAAGTCACCATTTCACAGGAGGGGGGAGAATGATTCCACTCGCCACTAGCAAGGCACAGAATTTCCTTTTCACCCACTAAGTTGTATCCATCATTGCATCTAAGTTAGAAGAAAAGAAGTGCTATCAAACACAGACCCTTTTATGCACAACGTAATCAGCTATCCCTTTTCTCTCTTCATCCACACCTGCATACACCATGTTTCTCTGCAGGGCACAGAGAGGTAGTATTGGAGTAAGCATCCAGCTTTGCTAGTGAATAGTCACAGCTATAACCAAATCTCTTTCCATTACTTTAACCCCAAATTCCTCCTCTTCTCAC